TCTCTGCTACACTTCACTTGCACGGGACTTTTGACCATCCTCTTTTATTTTAAGCTTTTAAATCATTTTCCTCTTTAAGATTGTTCACACAATCTTGCAACTAAAACGATAGCTTTACTAGAACTAAGGACCAGAAAGAAAAATAGAATTTCTTTTCTGGCTCAGCTTTCTGAGTGATTTCGGGTTTGAAGACTTCATCTTCCCTGGCCCCTTGCTCTGGGTATTAAGATGAGCAGACACAAAGTTTCAGATCAGATCAAAGTGACCTATATGCAGTGTGTTTAGAAACATCACAGTGAAATGCCTTTATGCAATTAATATATACTGATAGAGAGGAAGAGAGATAGGAAGGAAAGAAAGAGAAAAGGAAGGAAGGGAGGGAGGAAGTTTGTTTCAGCCCAGAATCAGGGCTCAAACTTGGAGGAAGGTGTAAGGTTTTAGATGAGAAAAGCACCACGCAGAGAGGAATAAAAGATTGACAGCAAAGTTTATTGGGGGTACACTCCCAGGTGAACTCCCAGGTTGGATCAGAGAGGTCGCACTGAGTGCAGTTGTAGCAGAGCTTTTATAGGCAGGGTAAAAGTAGCACTTGTAGTGATCAGGGACTTGTGGCATGTAGCTTGTTTTGCCAGTTTGAGCAGTCTTAGGCCAGTGCACTGGAAGAATGGTTGACTCAGATGGTGCTTTGGGGTAGGAACGTGGTCTTTCTCAGCAGCAGCCTTTTCCCCTCGCAGTGTGACATTTTTCCCAGCTGCCTACTTCCTCCAGCAACCTGACAGAAGGCACTCAGGGATATTCCGTAGAAAAGAGCCTTCATTTATCTCTCATTGTCTTGTGGTTCTGGGCTTTGAGTTCAGGACCTTACAGCTTGCTTGGCTTGTTTGCTGCATTGTCACTCTACCTCTTAGGCCATACCTCCAGCCTGCCATTTTGCTGATTAATTAAAGAAGTTTCTCAGCCTTTTCTACCAGGCTTCCAGGGGGGTCATAGGCCCACTGATTGACAGCTTTACCTTTTCTCACCAGCCTCAAGATTCCTTGAAGGGAAGTACAGGCACTTGCTGTGTGGACACCACACCCTAAAACTGTCCAGTGGATGGCCCTCGCTGGCCACCAGCGCGCTACACCTCCTGGTGCTGGGCGCAGTGGCCAAGAGCCTATCCACAGCACCTCCCCTCCCTCCCCAGCTTGTGAGGGAGGTGAATGAGGGGTGTAAGCCCCCAGGTGCCTCCTGAGCCGGCTGAGCATCTCCTTGGCCCTGGGTGCGAATCGGCCTATTTACTGCATTTTGAGAGAGAGCTGAATGGCTGGGAGGGGGCAGAGCCGTTGAGCCAAGCAAGCATCCTAGGCCCTCCTTTGGCATCCGTGAGGACCCTGCAGAGAGACCTGGCCTGGTGTGTGCCCTTCCTGAGGCTCAGGTGCAGGGCTGTGCGTCCCCTCTGGGGGCCCTTCCTGAACAAAGCTCTGAGATCCAAGCAGGGCTGCCACCCACCCTGAGATCCAAGCAGGGCTGCCCGGCCCCCGAGATCTAAGCAGGACTGCCCCCCCCCCCCCCTCAGATCCAAGCAGGGCTGCCCTCCCTGTACAAAGCCCTGAGATCCAAACAGGGCTGCCACCCACCCTGAGATCCAAGCAGGGCTGCCCACCCCCCCTCCTCCCTCAGATCCAAGCAGGGCTGCCCCCCCTCCTCCCTCAGATCCAAGCAGGGCTGCCCCCCCTCCTCCCTGAGATCCAAGCAGGGCTGCCCACCCCTCCTCCCTGAGATCCAAGCAGGGCTGCCCACCCCTCCTCCCTGAGATCCAAGCAGGGCTGCCCACCCCTCCTCCCTGAGATCCAAGCAGGGCTGGCCACTGCCCCCTCTCCCTGAGATCCAAGCAGGGCTGCCCACCCCCCCCTCCTCCCTCAGATCCAAGCAGGACTGCCCCCCCTTCCTCCCTCAGATCCAAGCAGGACTGCCCCCCCTTCCTCCCTCAGATCCAAGCAGGACTGCCCCCCCTTCCTCCCTCAGATCCAAGCAGGACTGCCCCCCCTTCCTCCCTGAGATCCAAGCAGGACTGCCCACCCCTCCTCCCTGAGATGTAAGCAGGACTGCCCACCCCTCCTCCCTGAGATGTAAGCAGGACTGCCCCCCCCCTCCTCCCTGAGATCCAAGCAGGGCTGCCCACCCCTCCCTGAGATCCAAGCAGGGCTGCCCACCCCCCTCCTCCCTGAGATCCAAGCAGGGCTGCCCTTCCCCCCCCAGATCCAAGCAGGGCTGCCCCCTCCCCGCCCCCCCTCCCGCCTGCATCGGTCCCCCTCCCCCCTACACAAAGCCCCGAGACCCAAGCGGGCGCGGCGGGCTGGACGGCAGAGGACCGGAAAAAAAAAAAAAAGCGCGGAAACCTCCCCGTCGGGGAATCGAACCCCGGTCTCCCGCGTGACAGGCGGGGATACTCACCACTATACTAACGAGGACGGCCGCGCAGGCCTCCTCGGCGGCCGCCTTCAGGGAGAGGGCGCGCTGGCCGCGCGGGTTCCGGGGCGGGGACCGCCTGCCCCCGCCCGCCCCCCGCCCCCGCCCGCCCCGCAGCCCCCGCCCCCCGCCCCGCCCCCGTCCGCCCCGCAGCCCCCGCCCCCGGCCCCCGCCCGCCCCGCAGCCCCCGCCCCCGGCCCCGCCCCCGGCCGCCCCCCCGCCCCCCCCGCCCCCGCAGCCCGCGCCCCCGCCCCCGCCCCGCCGCCCCCCCCGCCCCCGCCCCGCCGCCCCCCCCGCCCCCGCCCGTCCCGCAGCCCCCGCCCCCGGCCCCCGCCGCCCGCCCCCCCGCCCCCGCCCCGCCGCCCCCCCCGCCCCGCCGCCCCCCCCGCCCCCGCCCCGCCGCCCCCCCCGCCCCCGCCCCGCCGCCCCCCCCCGCCCCCCCCCCCGCCGCCCGCCCCCGCCCCGCCGCCCCCCCCGCCCCCGCCCCGCCGCCCCCCCCCGCCCCCGCCCGTCCCGCAGCCCCCGCCCCCGGCCCCCGCCGCCCGCCCCCCCGCCCCCGCCCGTCCCGCAGCCCCCGCCCCGCCGCCCCCCCCGCCCCCGCCCCGCCGCCCCCCCCGCCCCCCCCCCGCCGCCCGCCCCCGCCCCGCCGGCCGCCCCGCAGCCCCCGCCCCCGCCCCGCCGCCCGCCCCCCGCAGCCCCCGCCCCCGGCCCCCGCCCCCCCCCCCCGCCGCCCGCCCCCGCCCCGCCGCCCCCGGCCCCCGCCCCGCCGCCCGCCCCCGGCCCCCGCCCCGCCGCCCGCCCCCGCCCCGCAGCCCCCGCCCCCCGCCCGCCCCCGCCCCGCAGCCCGAACCCTCGGACCCAGGACGAGGCGCGACGGAGGGGGGGGGGGAAGGAACCGGAGAGCCCGCGGGCCCCGGGGGGCGGGCGGCGGCCCCGGCGGGGGGCTTGCCGTGGGGGGTGGGAAGGGAGGGTCCGCCCGCCCCGCCCCCGGTTTCCCTCTCTCTGCGCAGGAAGAAAAGAAACTGCCGAAACCCGGGATCGAACCAGGGACCTTTAGATCTTCAGTCTAACGCTCTCCCAACTGAGCTATTTCGGCGGCCGACGCGCTGCGCTCGCGCCCGCTCTCCTGAGGTTCCCGCCGCCCCGCGCCGCCTTCGCCGCGGCCGCGGGCTCCGGGCGACCGCGCCGGCTCGGGTCCCAGTCCCGCTCCGGGCGGCACCAGGCCCGGTCCCGAGGTGCAAAACAAGCCGCGCGCCTCCCCGTCGGGGAATCGAACCCCGGTCTCCCGCGTGACAGGCGGGGATACTCACCACTATACTAACGAGGACGGCCGGGCAGGCTGCGCCCGCGCCGCCAGGAGAGGTCCGGCCCGGCCCGCGCCTGCGCCCCGCCGCGCCCGCGCCCGCGCCGCCAGGAGAGGTCCGGCCCGGCCCGCGCCTGCGCCCCGCCGCGCCCGCGCCGCCAGGAGAGGTCCGGCCCGGCCCGCGCCTGCGCCCCGCCGCGCCCGCGCCGCCAGGAGAGGTCCGGCCCGGCCCGCGCCTGCGCCCCGCCGCGCCCGCGCCGCCCGGAGAGGCCCGGCCCGGCCCGCGCCTGCGCCCCGCCGCGCCCGCGCCGCCCGGAGAGGCCCGGCCCGGCCCGCGCCTGCGCCCCGCCGCGCCCGAGCCCGCGCCGCCAGGAGAGGTCCGGCCCCGCCGCACTTCCCCAGGTTCCCTCCCCCCCTCCCCCTCCCCTGGCCCCGCGCCCCTCCGCCCATCACGGTGCTCCGCAACCCGGTTCCCGCCTCGGGGATGTAGCTCAGTGGTAGAGCGCATGCTTTGCATGTATGAGGCCCCGGGTTCGATCCCCGGCATCTCCATAGCTCCTTTTGTTTCTCCCCAGACCTCACACAGGCCTGGAGGGCTGACCGCGAATGGTGCGCTCCCCGCGCCCGGGCTTGGGCCTCACCTGCACCCCACCCTCCACAGCCTTTCATTTTCCTGTCCTGGGTCTTGAACTCAGGGCCTGGGCGCTGCCCCTCAGCTCTCGGCTAGCACTACACCTGAGCCACACGGCCACTTCCAGCCTTTTCTGTGTCTGAGGGAGGCATGGAACCCAGGGCCGCCTGCACGCCAGGCACTAAAGCAGTCCCAGCCCCCCACAGGCTGTGAAGACCTCCCATCCGGAGAGAGCCATTGGATGCTGCCACACTGGAGATTTCCCCAGACTTCCTGACCCTGTGACACAAGCGTCTGGGGTCCACTCTCTCCCCAGCACCATGGAAAAGTTGTGTTCCTCAAAGCGCAAAGAACCACCAGTGAGAGACTGTCATGTCATTCACCTGCAAATGGCCCTGGCCTTTTGCATAACTTTTAGATCAGTGCGTGGCTCACACTGCCACAAGGTGGAGAGCCTGTGTCCATCCACAGATGAATCACACAGTACAGTCCACGGCAGAATACAATTGAGCCACCAGAAGGAGCAAGCTGCAAACCTGTACTACATTGTACTACAATGGCCAGCCCTGGAAATGTGATGCTAAGTGAACACAGAATGGACACAAGAGTCAGAGCTGGGGACCAGTGCCACGGTTTATTTGTGCCAGCCCAGCGGCCAGGTCTCCACTTTCGCACATCTTTTTTGCATGTGGCTGATGCTCTACCACATGACCACACCTCTGTCTGGCATTTTGCTGGTTACAGGGGATGGACTCACTGAGGACTCTGGCTGGTTGGCCCAAACAGAAACGGCTAAAAAGCAAAATAAATCTTTCTTCTTAGGTTGACTGTCACGAGTCAGGAATGTGTCCAGATTTGCAGTCGGAGCTGTTCCTGCCTTGCCCCTTCTACCTCAGCCCAAGAGGCAGGAGGGAGGGAGCAGGATCCCAGACAGGTGACAGAAGTCTGCAGTCCTGGCCAGCCAGGGCTGCCCCTGCTGCCCTCTGGGACAAGTGCCCAGTCCCTGGTGCATGGGCATTCCAGGATGGAGCGCCGAGGGTGGGCAGGGCTGGAGGTGTGCCTGCTGCCCAGGGCAGCCACACCGCTGGCGAAGTCTGCCAGCACCCCCCCTGAGGTGACCCGCATGAGGTCCAGGTAAGATGGGTTCCACTCCAGTGTGAACCCGTGGCTGGCATCTCATCGCCCATCTGTGTGCATAGGCGGGGGTGTGGACGGCTGGTCGTGGCGGTGTCCAGTGCCGAGCAGAGATGTGAGCCTGGGCGGCAGGTCAGCGGTCAGAGTTGGGTGGGCGGCCAGTCCTTCTCCACGCTGCCATGCATGGCCTGCGGGAGCCACTCGCAGTACTCGGCTAGCAGGTCTGCAGGCAAGAGGAGGATGGCGTCAGGGTGTCGGGCTGGGCCCTGCCACACCAGCCCCGGCTCCAGCCCTGCACACTCACACTTGGGGTTTCTCTTCCAAGCAGCCAGCAGGGCACCCCGGCAGTCAGTGTGTTCAGCTACGAGGGCTCGTAGCAAACTCTCGGTCCTGGGCTGCAGCCTGCAGGCGGAAGGCAGCTGTGAACAGTTGGCTCGGCCCAGAGAAGGGAGAACACGCCTCAGGAGAGGGTGCTCCCTGCCCAGCTAGCAGGAACCCCAGGGTACAGGCAGGCCCCTGTTCCTGGTGAGGTCCACCCTCACCACCCTGCGGGGGCTGACCCTTGCCCCTCTCCCGGCCCTGAGGAGGGCAGAGCTCATCACAGCCTCGTGTGCGCTCCGGCCTCCAGAACTGTGAGGGAGGCCTGCTGCCTCGCCTCCCACCGTCACAGCCTCCCAGGCCATACCTGGCCCAGGTCTTCAGCATTGTGTTGGGGCTGGACAACAGAGAGCCCTTGTAGGAGGCCAGCTTGGGGAACACCTGAGGAGAGGGCACAGCATGGGTGAGCCCCGGGGCACTTGGCCACACCTCCAGAGGGCAGAGCGGGCGCCTACCTGGCCCTCCAGCAGGAACCGGGCAAAGTGCTTGTAGCAGTCCAGGCCTTCTGGAAAATCCACCTGGATAGCAGGCAGTGCCCAGCCGACTCGATCTAGGGGCGGAGACAGTGAGCAGGGGTCCTTCCCGCCCCACCCTCCAGAGACACTAGAGGGTCAAGGCCAGCGGGTGACACCCCTCAGCCCGGAGACGGGGCCGACTCACAGAACACACTGGTGCGGTGGCACTGCACCCGGCCTGTCTCAGGACAGTAGGTGGGGGGCGGGTCCTCCAGGGGTGTGGAGAACTGGCAGTAGGCAGGCAGCAGGGCTGGGATCCACTGGATCTCCACAGTGGAGATGCCTGGGAGAGGCAGAGAGGGTGTGTTATGGCGGTCACCCCAGGTGGGTCACGGCCAGCTCAGTGGCGCCACCTGGGTGCGGAGGCCTGGTACTGCAGGTACCTTTCATGTACATCTTCGTGGTCTCCACAATTTCCTGGTAGACCACAAATTCTGGGAGTTCTCGGAAAAGGACGGAGCTGGGGTGGATGAAGACCGGGTCATCTAGGAGAGGGGTCTGTGGGAAGTGAGGGGGTGGCTTGAGTCAGGGAGACACCGAACACCATTGCCCAGTGTGTTACACTAGGAGCTTCTTGGTGTGGCTCAGACCTATAATCTGAGGATTCTAGTTCAAAGTCAGCCTAGGCAAAAAAGTCCATGAGAGTCTTATTTCCAATTAACTACCAAAAAAGCCAGAAGTGGAGCTGTGGCTCAAGGGGTAGAGCCTTGATTCAAAAAGTTCAGGGATGCCGGGTGGCGGTGGCTCACGCCTGTAATCCTAGCTACTCAGGAGGCTGAGATCTGAGGATCACGGTTCAAAGCCAGCCCCGGCAGGAAAGTTCGTGAGACTCTTATCTCCAATAAACCACTAAAAAAACCGGAAGTAGTGCTGTGGCTCAAGCGGTAGAGCACTTGCCTTGAGCTGAAGAGCACAAGAACAACGCCCAGGCCCAGAGTCCAAGCCCCACAAACTACCAAAAAAAAAAAGTTCAGGGAAGGTGGCTCAGTGGTAGAGTGCTTGCCTTACATGCATGAGGCCCTGGGTTCCACTCCTCAGCACCACATAAGCAGAAAAAGCCGAAGTGGGGTTATGGCTCAAATGCAAGCTAGCCTTGAGCTGAAGAGTGCAGGGATAGCACCCGGTCCCAGAGTTCAGGCCCCATTACTGACCAAAAAAAAAAAAAAAAAAGTTCAGGGATAGGCTCAGGCCATGAGTTCAAGCCCAATCCTGCCAACCCCCCCCCACCAACCCACCATAAAACTAAATTGGGCTCTATTTGGCTCAGCTGGGAACTGAACTCAGGTTCTTGAGCTTACTAGGAAGGTGCTCTACCAGCTGGATCACACTCCAGTCCTGAGTGCTGAGCTGTTAATGGCTGTGATCTGCTGTGTTGCTGGCTAGCTGTGATCTGCCGTGTTAATGGCTGGCTGTGATCTGCCGTGTTAATGGCTAGCTGTGATCTGCCGTGTTGGGGCTAGCTGTGATCTGCCGTGTTAATGGCTGGCTGTGATCTGCCGTGTTAATGGCTGGCTGTGATCTGCCGTGTTGGGGGTGGCTGTGATCTGCCGTGTTGGGGGTGGCTGTGATCTGCCGTGTTGGGGGTGGCTGTGATCTGCCGTGTTGGGGGTGGCTGTGATCTGCCGTGTTGGGGGTGGCTGTGATCTGCCGTGTTGGGGGTGGCTGTGATCTGCTGTGTAAACGGCTGTGATCTGCCGTGTTGGGGGTGGCTGTGATCTGCCGTGTTGGGGGTGGCTGTGATCTGCTGTGTAAACGGCTGTGATCTGCCGTGTTGGGGGTGGCTGTGATCTGCCGTGTTGGGGGTGGCTGTGATCTGCCGTGTTGGGGCTGGCTGTGATCTGCCGTGTTGGGGCTGGCTGTGATCTGCCGTGTTGGGGGTGGCTGTGATCTGCCGTGTTGGGGGTGGCTGTGATCTGCTGGGGTACAGGTGAGGTGGCCCGCCCCGCCCCTCACCAGGCCTACCTTGTAAGCGTTCCTCCACTTCTCGTCCAGCAGCTCCTCACTCTGCACCCTGCGGGCCAGGTGGTCGCCCAGGCCGGCTGCCAGGATCTGCCGCAGATAGGTCACCTGGCTCTCAGTGGGCGGCTCCATCTTGGGATCCACAAAGAGCCCCACCTCGGGGCACACGGCATTGACTGGGGGAGGCCCGGGGTGAGTCAGGGCTTGCCGTGCCCCAACTTCTGCAAGGCCTCATGGCACTTGGGTCCCAGTCCCACTGAGCCAGAGGCCAGAGGCCAAGCCCTCAAGGAAAGGGGTGACCCAAGGATTCAGGGGGGCTCCCCATAGGGGGCAGAATGGCCTCATCTGTCCCCATTCCTGCCTGGGGACCTTCAAGAGGAAAGTGGGCTCCAGGGGACAGCAGGAGGGAGGACACCGCCATGGTCTGATGGCAGGACCGTCCAGCAGCGGGTGAGCCCCGGCACCACCTACCCACGGTGGTCAGCTGACCGCGCAGGCGCCGAGTCTCCAGCATGGCCTTGTACCGCAGCCCGTTGGTCTGGCAGAACTCAGGAGAGCAGCCAGCGTACTCACAGGCACCCACCGCACCTGAAGGGCAAAGTGGGGTGTCCTCTCCTGCTGACCTCACCCGGGCCTCCTCGGGGCCACCTCCTCACCTCACCCCACCAACTGGCACCAACCTAGCAACACCATGAAGTCCCCAAGCTTCAGAGAGGCCCCCTGGCCAGCCCAGGCTCTCTTGATCTGGGCCACCCGGGCCCGCCGGCTCTTCAGTGCCACAAGCTCGTCGTCGCTGGCGGCAGGTCTGTGAACACACACACAGGAGGCCCGGGGCTCACCTGGGAGCAAGAAGTGTGGCACCGAGCAGCACTCATCTTTAAGTGGAGAGAGCCAGGTACACGATTCTGCGGAGGCTGAGGTGGAGTGAGACCCCATCTCAACCACTACATAAGATCCTATCCCAGACTTCAAACGACAGAGCTTGTGCCCAGCACGCGAGAGCCCATGTCTGCCTCCCGGCAGTGCACCCTGAGAAAGCAAAACTTGTCTGAAATAGCCAAGCGCGGGTGGCTCACGCCTGTAATTCTAGCTACTCAGGAGGCTGAGATCTGAGAATCACAGTTCAGCCAGCCCGGGCAGGAAAGTCCATGAGACTCTTCATCTCCAATTGAACCACAAAAAGCCAGAAGTAGAGCTGTGGTCCAAAAAGCCAGAAGTAGAGCTGTGGTCCAAAAAGCCAGAAGTAGAGCTGTTGTTCAAGTGGTAGAGTGCTCACTTGAGCTGAAGTGCTCAGGGACAGCACCCAGGCCCAGAGGTCAAACCCCATGACCGACAAAAAGATGAATAAAAAAAGTTAAAAAAAAAAAAAAAAGAGAGAACAACTTGTCTAAAAGAATCAGCCAGCCGGCAACACCTCTGAGCTAATTTTGTTAGGAGCTCAGTGAACTTCACGTTCTTAGTACTGGCTTCTTCAGTGCATCTGCTGCTCTCTATTTTGGGGCCTGGAAGGAGCCTGGGCTGCATGGGCACGGCCAGGCCAGGCTCCTACACTGAGCCACTGCAGCCCGTGATCCCAGAGCTCTCCCTCCACCCTTCAGACGTGTGGGATGGTGTTCAGCTGCCCACCTGAGGCCAAGCACCAAAGGCTCAGGGGGCCCCAGAGGAACACACAAAGCCAGCCCTGGCTCCCGAGGCTCGGCTGGCACACCACGCACCTGTCCAGCTCCTCAAACAGCTCCCGCACGGTCATGGCCGACACAAGGGCAATGGCATAAGGCAGGCAGCCGTGCTGCCGGCTCAGCGCCAGCATCTTGGCATACCGAGGTGCCACGGGGAAGGCGGCCATGGTCCGGCCCAGCGCGGTGATGGGGCAGCTCAGCCGCGAGCTCTGCAGCTGCTTCATCCTGTGGAAGGCCGGAGTGGGTGCGTGCCAGGGAGCGGCCCAGAGCTATGGGGCAGGCCTGCTACCCCCGCCCCCTACCTTGCTCCTTTCGGGGGCGCCTGCAGGGCTCCCAGAGCGATGAGCAGCTCCTCAGCGGCAATGAGGGCCTCCACAGAGGGAGGCGTGGGGAAAGGGAAGTTGATGACCTGGGCACGGGAGACATGGGTGCTGAGGATGTGCCTGGGCTGGCCTGGCCCCGCCCCCGGCTGCAGCCCCTCCTCTGAGGACCTGGATGCCCCAAAGCAGTCACAGTAACCCCAGAGTCGCTGTCCCTTCATCCAACACTCGTCCTGAGTACCACCAAGTGGAACCTGCGGTGACCGCCTACGACCACGTTTGCATGGCCCTGACCACAGACAGCTAACACAGATAGCATGAGAGCGGAGCTCCGGGCCAGCTAGGACAGGAGACGCGGGGCTGGGCACCAACCTTCTCAATGTTGAGAGCTTTCATCTGTAGGATCAAGTCCTCCACCGGCCTGCGTGTGATTTCTGGGGGAGGAAACTGCTCAAAGTCCGCGAAGACCGCAGAGGAATACAGCCTGAGCGAGAGAAGCCAGGGCCGGCAGAAGTCACCACCTCCGCTCCCAGCCCAGGGCCCTCAATCGCCCGGGTGGCTGTGGGTGTAAAACAGCCCGCCACCTGGTGGCGCCCGGCAAAGCCAAACACAGTCCAAACACAGCTACTGCCCACCTCCTCCCTGGAGTGAATCCTATGCTTTCTACTGCTTAACTTGAAGCCAGCTAAAAGAACTTCAATAACAGAATTAAAAATAATGGATGCCAGTGGCTCAGGCCTATAATCCTAGCCACTCAGGGGGCTGAGATCTGAGGATCTCAGTGCCAAACCAAGCTGGGCAGGAAAGTCCCTGCGATTCTTATCTCCAGCAAAAGCTGGAAGTGGAGCTATGGCTCAAGTGGTGAAGTACCAGCCTTGAGCACAAAAGCTCAGAGACAGTACCCAGGCCTTGAATTCAGGACTGGCTTGAATGATGGGATGGATGGACGGACGGACGGACACACACACACACACACACACACACACACACACACACACACACAGTTCACCACAACAAACACCATCCACACCTAAATCCATCGGCTGCCCAGTGGGCAACCTATGGGGACTTGTACACATAAAAAATGCATCAACCTGGGCTGGGAAGGTGGCTCGGTGGTAGAGTGTTTGACTTGTATGCATGAGGCCCTGGGTTCAATTCCTCAGCACCACATACACAGAAAAAGTTGGAAGTGGCGCTGTGGCTCAAGTGGTAGAGTGCTCGCCTTAGGCTGAAGAGCTGAGGGACAGCGCCCAGGCCCAGAGTTCAGACCCCACGACCAGCCACAAACAACAAAATAAAAAAAAATGCATCAGCCACCAGGCACCAAACAAACCCCTAAAACATGCATCAGAAACAACTCAGACATGCGGAATGGCATGTGAGAAGCGTGGGCGCATGGCCGACACTCATGCTGAGCCACACACGGTCACATGGTGTGACACTCCGCTCCCACGGGATTTCTGGAACTGGCCCCGCCATGGAGAGCCACCGGTGGCGCGCACAGGCCCCTGCTGGGGTTCAACCCCATTGTGCTGCAGAATGGCAGCCCCTGAGCAGATATTTGAAAACAGTGCAGACTTCCCTGGAGGGTTGTCCACCCAGAATCCCAGCACAAAGACAGAAACAACATGCATGTGTATACACGTCACGGGAGCCAGGAAGGAGGAAGGGGAAACTCCTGATTCCTGGTTCTTGGCGCCCGCTGGGAACACACTGGCCCACCTGTAGCAGTGGCCGGGCTCGGTGCGGCCTGCCCGGCCCGCCCGCTGGTCAGCTGATGCCTGCGAGACCCAGGTGACGCGGAAGGATGACACGCCGGTGACACGATCATAGTAGCGCTTCTTGACCTTGCCACAGTCTACCACGTACTTGATGCCTGGGATGGTGAGGGACGTCTCGGCCACGTTGGTGGCCACGACGCACAGCCGAGCCCCCTCTGGGGGAGGCCTGAAGACCTGGGTGAGGAGCAGGAAAGGCAGTACTGGAACCAGGGAGAACTCCGGAGCCACAGGACCTCCGAGGGCTCAAGCTCCCAGGAACAACATGGGCAGGCAGGCTTTTACCTCTCCCAGGAGACCTCCCAAGATATGGGGAGACAGCTGGGTGATAGACGGGCTGAGATGGGCTCCACTGCATCACCATTAAGGGCCCTGACACGCGGCGGACACCCTGACTCCCTGTCTGCCCCCCAGCGCCTTTACCTGCGCCTGCTTCTCGGGGGCCAGCAGAGAGTACAGCGGGAGCACGTGGAGGGGCAGGGAGGCGTCTGGCTGCTCACCTGCAGGGAAGAGGTCTGCCGTCATCAGCTGGGACAAACCCCAAGGGCGGGAGCCAGTGGCTGGCTCCCCCGGAGGGCTGTCCCCACAGCTGCTGGCTGCCCGGCACCTCCCACCCGCTGCCATGCCAGCCTGGGCAGGCGTTTGCGCTCAGCACAGTCGTGCAGGCGGGCGGACCGGCGAGCTCCTGACGGCTGTCCTGTCAGGCCCAGGCCCGTCTACCTGTCCAGAACCCTACAAATAGGGCTTGCAGCAAGGGTGGCAGCCTGTGCCACCCACACAAGCATCAGGGCCTGCAGCTGCCAAGGGCTCAGGAAAGGTCACGCTGAGGCAGATGGGGCACCCGGGGAGGCTCGCCAGCCAGGGGGCCCTGAGTCCCACCACAGGCCCAAGACCCGGGACGGGGCCTGGGGCTCAGCACACAGCCGCTGAAAGACGAAGACCCAAGGAACTCAGCCAGGATGCCCCAGCAAGCCGCAAGCCGCACCTCCCTCAGCACCATCTTCGTCCCCCAAGTCCAGGTCCAGGTCCGAGCCCAGGGCTGCCTCCTCGTCGTCCATCTCCGCCTCGCGGTCCTCATCGCCCTCACCCGCGGGCAGCACCGAGTAACTGTCTAGGCTGATCTGGGGCAGTGCCTGTGCCAAGAGGACACCCACACAATGGACCCTGGCGACCCTGGGGTAACCACGCTCTGCGGAGATCCAGCCTTCTACGGAGAAGCCATACCCACCACCCACGGAGCCCCCCGGAAACCGGCCTCTGGCTCAGCCTCTCACCTAAACACTGGGGACAGCCACGGGCCTCATCTCCCCCAGCTGTGGGAAGAGCAGCTGCCCGGGAACCACAGGAGCTTCAGGAGAAGAGGCCACCAGGGGGACCCACGTGCCATGGCACCATGCCTGCACGGCACCACAGGGCAGCCCTTCCTGGCAGCCAGGTTTGGCAGTGGATACACCCCACTTGGCCTGCTTCCCAGCACCCTCACAGGACCTCCTCAGGACTTCTGGAAGGCTCATTAGAACATGCTGCCAATCTTCCTCCATCTCACAGCTCGAGTTGAGAGCTGTCCCACTGAAGTTTGTGTCACAGGGAAGGTCGGGGAACCTTCTACAATAGTGCAGTCTAATATATCAGCCCCTTGTGGCTGCTGGCCCCTTAAGATGGGTCTGGGCCACATATCAAGATTTTTATTTATTTATTCTTGTCAGTTGTGGGGCTTGAACTCTGGGCCTGGGCACTGTCCCTGAGCAATTCAGTGCAAGGCTAACCCTCTACCACTTGAGCCACAACGCCACTTCCGGTTTTCTCAGTTGTTTATTGGCGATAAAGAGTCTCACAAACTTTCTGCCCGGGCTGGATTCAAACTGTGATCCTTAGATCTCAGCCTCCTGAGTAGCTAGGATGACAGGCGTGAGCCACAAGTGCCTGGCAGAACTAGAGTTTCAACTGAACTTACTTCTACCTAAAAAGCCGTTGTCCCGCATCGCACAGGTCCCAGAGGCCTGCCACATACACATACCGCTGCCCGCGCCTTCTTGGCCCGTGCTCGAGACTTCTTAAACCTCCGAACTTCTTCTGCGGAGTCCTTCTCCTCCTCCTCTGAAAAGGTGAGCAGAAGACCCTGAGTTCAAGCCCATGACCGACCAAAACAAACAAACAAAAGCCAGATGCTGGTGGCTCATGCCTGTAAGTGGCACTGTGATAGAGCTAGCCTTGAACAAAAGAGCTCAGGGACAGCACCCGGGCCCCGAGTTCAAGACACATGACCAACAAAGAGTAAAAATACAAAATGAAAAGGCAAAGGCGGGACAGGCCTTTGGCTGCACTGTCGGGTCAGTTATGGTGGGGCAGGAAGGTATTAAGGCACAGAGCTCCCAGAGAAGACTGAGGCAGACAGGCACCCCAAGAAGGGTGCGGGCGGCCTAGGCGCTTGCTTACCTTGTGGCCTGCACCTGCGGGCTGGGAAGGCCTTTCGGAGCCTCCGGCACAGTGCGTGCACCTCGGCCTGCCCGGTCAGAAACACCAGGATGCCGCCTGCAGAACAGCAGCCAGCCATCAGCTTGGTTGGTTTGCAGCAAGCATCTGCCAGGCCTGCCTAGATGCCAGGCCAGAGTCACAGGGCACCAGGGGAGCAGGTGCCCCAGACCCGCGGGGCAGCCAGGAGCTAGCACCAGCCGGGATACAGGAGAGGACCCAAGGACAGACGCGGTCCCAAAGCCACCTGGCCAGCCTGCCTCCGCCCCCCCCCCCCCGCCCCCCATGGGCCAGCACCCCACCTGCTGGCAGCATGCGGTGGATCTTGCAGGTCTTCCGGAAACACTCGCCCGCATAGTCCTCCAGCGGTGTCCGCTTGTTGAAGTGCACGGTCACCGGGAACTGCCTGGCCTCCACCTGCAGGGAGCATGCTGCAGCCAGGCTGCCGCAGGCCTGCTGTCCCCGACCCTGCTGGCTCCCAGGGGGTGGAGGTGGGGACGGGCCAGATGGGGGTCCCTCGGGTAGGCCTCACCTTGATGACAGGCGGCGGCTGGGAGAACAGCCGTGAGTTCTGGGTGAAGTCCTCCACCCGCAGCGTGGCTGACATGATGAGCAGCTTCAGCGGCAGGCGCCTCTGCGGAGGACAGACTGTGAGCACGCGTGGCTGTGACCTTGCGACCCAGCCTCCCCCTGGGCAAGCAGCGGGGGAGCTCTGTGCCCAGGGAACACCAGGTGATGGGCGTCTGCCTGTCCCCACAGCCAGGCCAGGCTTGCACGTGCACAGGTATGCAGAAGGGCCGGGGCACAGGTTCCGGGGACACAGCTGCAGTCACGCTGAGTGTGCTGGGCCTGGGCTTCAGCGAGAAGCTAGACTCAGGCCCCCCGGGGTGGGGCTCCCTGGCCCCTCAGCAGCTGGGCTCTGCTCTCAATCTCTTGTGCTTGTAAACCACAGGCCTCAGTGCTTAGGAGGCCCAGGTCATCTTTGGCGAATGAAAGCCAAGGTTGTGGCCACATGACCCCACTGCCCTTCCACCCCCTCCACCTCTGGCTGTTCCCCGACACTTCCAGCATCAGCCAGCCCAGTGGGACAGAGCGCCTCCTACCCGACAAGACCTGGCATCAGGAGGAATGGCAGGTGCCACGGAACCTCCCAGCCGTGATGGCTGGCACAGAGCTGGCCATGACCCAGCATGAGACACAGAAGCCTGGCCCGCCTGCTGACAAGTGGTGGCCCCTGACGGCCCACGCCGGCTCCTGTGCTACCTTGGCGCGCAGCGTCACGATGCGGGACAGGAGCCCGATGAGGATGTCGGTGTAGACACTGCGCTCGTGCGCCTCGTCGACGATCAGCACCCGGTACTGCTTCAGCAGGAAGTCCTGGGGAGGTGGGGTCACAGATCACACTGAGCAGCCCAGTGGCCGGAGACCCCCTCTTGGCTTGGGAGAGGGCTCTGTACCCTCGGCAGGTCGCTTTGACCAGACCTATTTCCTCTCCAGACAAATGGGGACAACATGAGCCACATCCCGGGGTCCCCGGCAGCACCCGGGGTCTGCCCGTGGAGCGCAGGCTGAGGCTCTAGACGCAGAGCTGTGGGGCGGAGTGCAGGAGAGGGAAATGAGCCGGGCCATACAGAACAGCCCTGGGGCCTCGACGGCGAGAGGACTGGGGTCACCCATGCTGGCAGCAGAGGCTACAGAAGCCCCCCTTGCCACAGAGCCTCTCTCCACATGGGCCTGTGTGCTTTTGGGGACATTAAGTCACCCCTTGAGACCAGCATGCCAGTCCTAGGGTGTCTCAACTCCCCGGGAGCCTCCGGAGGCAGCGGGCATGAGCCGCGCTGCTGGCCACAGGCTCTGGGAGAACACAGCACAGCTCAAAGGCCAAGTGCCGTGAGGATCTTCTGAGCACCCGGAGAGCAGGTGAGCGCATCACTGAGGCAGGGCCCGCACAGCAGCACATACACACACCTAGCACAGACAGTGAGACCAGCCTGAATAACACCACACGGGCACATTTCAAGCCACCTCCCGGGCACCGGCCACATGGGATGTGGCTCTAGTGCACTGTGCAGTTTCAGCTTCAAAGCAAATCTACGAAGAAGGCATCAGTATACTGAGGCTCAGAGAGGTCAAGGAATGTGCCAGAGGTCACACTGCTGTGAGCAGGAAGAGTATTTTGCCAAGAGGTGGAACGGTAACCGAGGCAGGGGTGATGCGCTGACCCCCCCCCATCCTTGTCCTGCGAGAGCTGGAACCAACCTTCTGGATCTCCTTGAGCAACACGCCATCCGTCATGAACTTGACCCTGGTGTCTTCAGTCACATTCCCTTCATACCGGATCTGGTAGGAGACGACCCTGCAGGGACAGAGCCACAGCCACAGCCACGTGGTGCTGAGGACGGCGGTGGAGGAGGCCGGCAGCATGCATGGCCAGGGCTGCACCTCTGTCCCCCAAGACCATGTGCATGGCCTGGCCAGAGCTGGGCTGGAGAAACCACGGAGCCCCCCCCCACACACACACACACAGCCACACCGAAGGGCACACAGCAGCCCCGCCACCGGCCTCGCTCACCGCTCTGACAGATTCATCTCCTTGGCCACTCGCTGGGACATGGCCATGGCGGCCACACGGCGGGGCTCTGTGACTCCGATGATGCTGTGGTTGCTGGGGAGGGAGGGACATCAGCCTGGGACCCCACCTGTCTGTCCGCAGCCACTGTGCCTTGAACCCCGCCGCGCAGGGACAGACGGGAAGGAATGACTCCAGGTCCACCCAGGAACCCTGTGGCCAGCTTTGTAGCAGCTGTGGCTGGGATCAGCGGGCACTTCCTAGCTGGCTGTGCAGAGGTGCTGGGGGCCTGGAACCACACTGTGGGAAAAGAGGCCCTGTCCTCGTCCTGGGAAAGGCCAAGCCAGAGACCTTGCTTCATCCCAAACAGTGATGACCTTTCACTTCCGAAGCACGCCAATGTTCACTTGGAAACCATGCTTCAATTTTAGAGTGCTTTGCTTGGGCTGGGATGAGGCTCAGTGGCAAAAGCGCTTGCCTAGTGAGCACAACATCCTGGGTTCAATCCCCAGTACCGAAAAAGGAAAGACAAAAAAATGTGTGAGCTGGGAATGTGGCTTAGTGGCAGAGTGCTTGAATAGCATGCACTGGGTTCCATTCCTCAGTACCACATACGCAGAAAAAGCCAGAAGTGGCGCTGTGGCTCAAGTGGTAGAGTGCTAGCCTTAAGCAAAATTAGTTCAGGAAGGGCTGGGAAGGTGGCTCAGTGGTAGAGCGCTTGCCTTGCATGCCTGAGGCCCTGGGTTCGATTCCTCAGCACCACATAAGCAAAAAGAAAAAAGCTGGAAGTGGTGCTGTGGCTCAAGTGGTAGAGCGCTAGCCTTGAGCTGAAATGCTGAGGGACAGCGCCCAGGCCCAGAGTTCAGGCCCCACGACTGGACCCCCCCCCAAAAAAAAAATTAGTTCAGGGACAGCACCCAAGCCCCGAGTTCAAGCTCCAGGACTGGCCAAAAAAAAAGCTGTGCTAGGTGACAGTGGCTTACACCTGTACTTCTAACCTTTTTCAAAAGGCTAAAATCTAAGAATTCAAGGTTCCAAGCCCGCCTGAGCACAGACTTTTTTTTTTTGGCCAGTTGTGGGCCTGAACTCTGGGCCTGGGTCCTATCCTTCAGCTCTTCAGCTCAAGGCTAGCACTCTACCACTTGAGCCACAGCGCCAAGTATAGACTTTTATCTCCAGCCAAAGACCAGAGTGAAGTTATAGCCCAGAGATAAGAGCGCCAGCCTTGAACACAAAAACTAAGCAAGAATGCAAAGCCCTGAGTTCAAGTCCCAATACTAGTACAAGAAATAAAAGTACAAAATAGTGTATACAAAAACCAGAAAACAGGGCTGGGAAGGTGGCTCAGTGGTAGAGCGCTTGCCTTGCATGCATGAGGCCCTGGGTTCAATTCCTCAGCACCACATAAGCAAAAATAAAAAAGCCAGAAGTCGCACTGTGGCTCAAGTGGTAGAGTGCTAGCCTTGAGCTGAAGAGCTGAGGGACAGCGCCCAGGCCGAGTTCAGGCCCCACAACCGGAACTACCCCCGCCCCCCCCCCCCCCAAAAAAAAACCAACCCAGAAAACACTAAAAACACAGGGTGGCCTGTGAGTGGATGTGCCGACATGGCGTGTGGTCACCATGTCCTGGTGTGGCCTCCTGTGACACTGAGGACCTGTGTGTCAGTTCCCCGTGACCACGGCCATGCCGTGCCAGGGCTGGTGGCGCCAATCTGCCAGACACGCAGGGCCTCCCCACCCTACCCCCGTCTACCAGGGAGCCTCCAGGGGCCCGAGCCTGCAGGTTTCATTTGGGTAACCTCAGTCCAGCTAGTACATGGTCAGCAGACAGCCTGGCGTTGAGGCTGGGCCGCCTTCAGGGGTGAGTGGCCGACAGCCTGCTGGGGCAGAGGGGGGCTGGGGCGGATCTGTGCTGCAGCCCCCCACATCCCTCTGCACCACCCCATGCCCTATGATGCTGGGTGTGCCTTGTGTGCAAGGCTGGCTTGTCCCATGCCCTTGTGGGCCAGGCCCGTGTCCTCAGAGCCCCTCATCCAGGAGCTCCGGGGCAGCCATGAGCAAGTCCACAAGCCAGACAGCAAGGTCACAGTGCTGGGTGTCAGGAGAGGTCTCAGTGCCCGACAGGGCCATCGGCTGCCCAGTGGGACTGGAGCTGGGGTTACTTGGGCCTGTCCCCCCATTTCCCCCCCCCATCACGTGCCTCTCTGAAGCACTCATACTAGGGTCAAACAACCTCAGGTTTCTGAGGATTAAGTTAGAGGAAGGGAGCAAAGGCAGACTCGGCCCACCGTGCCCAGCCCTACCTGCTGTAGCCCGCTTCGTAGAGGAACTGCGGCACCTGCGTGGTCTTCCCACTGCCCGTCTCCCCGCACACGATGACTACTGGGTGCTCGGCCACGGCCTCCATGATGGTTTGCTCCTCTGAGAGGATGGGCAGCTTGAGCCGCTCCTCCTGTGCGGGGTGGGGACAGAGACCGCCAGGTGACACGGCATCGGGTGATAGGTGGGGGGAGGGCAGGGAGAAGTGGTAGAGCCGGGCTCTGGGGAGTCTGCCTGAGGTCAAAAGGGGCCCCTTTCTGCACGCTTACCCCCACCCACACACCGAGAGAGAGAGACAAACCTGCATTTCGGGGGTGCGGTTCACGGGCACAAACACCGCGGGCTTGGCGAGGGGCCTCGGCCGGGTGGCGGCAGGCGCTGGGGGCCTGGCTGTGGGGGGCTGACTGGTGGCCACTGTGTTCCCATCCCCAGCCCCAGGCAGAGCCGGCGGCAGCTGAGCCGTGCCCGTGCCTGTACTGGTCTCTGGCTGGAGGGGGTCAGGGACCTCGGGCTCAGAATCCCCCGAGGACTCTGACTCCTCATTGGAGGACGGCTGGTGGTGGCGCTTGCGGCCAGCCCCACTCAGGCTGCTGATGCCCTGACCCTGGGCGGCCAGCTCGGCGGGCTTCCTGCCGGAGGGAGGGCAATCTAAGCACAGCCTTCCTGCCAAACGCACCATGGCTCTCGAGCCCCCGCAGGTCAGCTACTGAGGACCTGACCTCACAGAGTGAACCCCCTGCCTTCCCACGCCGATCTGATCCAGACTCATTTGCCTCAGAGTTGTAGTTGTTTGATGACTTCACTCCCTCGGAAGTGCTCCCAAGGGAAAAGCACTGGCTTGTGCCCTGCCTGTCTCCAGGGTTCGGAGTCAGGACAGTTTGAACCCAGCTTTTGAAAGCTCCAAGCACAGGGGCTGGGAATATGGCTTAGTGGTAGAGTGTTTGCCTAGCAGGCATGAAGCCCTGGGTTTGATTCCTCTGTAACACATACACAGAAGAAGCCAAAAGTGGCGCTGTGGCTCAGTGGTAGAGCGCTTGCCTTTCATGCATGAGGCCCTGGGTTTGATTCCTCAGTATCACATAAGCAGAAAAAGCCGGAAGTGGCGCTATGGCTCACGTGGTAGAGCGCTAGCCCTGAGCTGAAGAGCTCAGGGACGGTGTTCAGTCCCCACAACCGACAAAACAAACAAATAAAATCAAGGATAACCTTGAACAAAAGGAGCTCAGGGACAGTGCCCAGGCCAAGAGTGTCAAAACAACAAGAAAGAAAGAAAAAAAAAGCAAGCTCCAAGAACGGAGCAGGCGGAGGGTGAGGTTCGGTAGGGAAGAGAGGCTATTCTCTGCAACACCAACCTAGGGCAGCACTGCTGTCCAACTGCCAGGACCATGCAGTAAACGGGCTTCAAGTTGCAGTTGTTGGTACTGAGATAGGAACTACACTCACTCAACTTGTTTGCTCATGGCTAGAACCATTTGAGTCACGTCTCCAGGTTTGGCTTTTGGCTGTTTTTTTAGACAGGGACTTTTCTGCCTGGGCTGACTTCCATTTGTGACCCAGGACTCAACCTGAGTGGCCAGGATTACAGCTTCCATTTGTGACCCTCCAGGTCTCAGCCTGAGTGGCCAGGATTACAGGCATGAGCCACTTGGCTTCTTTGTCTTCCCCAGGAGATTCCGTAAGGCCTCCCCAGGCGCTGGCAGACAGGGGAGATCTGGATAGGGAAGGTGGCTCACGGTTTGGTGTGGTACATGCGGTCCCCTGTGCCCAGCTTGGATGTGGTGTAGAAGAGCCTCATCTCCGCCTCTGACACCTGGACTTCACTCAGTTTCTGCAGCATCTCTGCTCGCTGGGAACAGGAACAGGGCGTCAGGGCCATGTGGGAGGGAAGGAAGGTCAGCAGAACTCCAGTGTCCTAAAGCAGCACTGTGCAAGCCGCCTGGTCAGCACCTGCAGGCTGGGGACCTTTTCCTCCTCCTTCATCCCAGCTATGGGACAAAGCTCGTGGCAGCACTGTCACAGATGAGGCCTGTCGGTGGCCCAGACACCCACTAGCCAAGGTCTGGAGTGTCCTGTGGGCACTGCGGCTCAGCCCTGCTGTACTGGAGGGGCAGTGGTACTGCCGATGGGCCTGTACTGAGGGCCAGGGCCCAGGTGACCCAGCCACCCTTACGTGAAGAAAAACCACAACCTGATGGTATCGACCCACCACTTCCACGAGCCCAGAATCACACAAGTCGACGGATTCGGGCACTTGAACTGTGTCCTGAAGGGCAGCCACTGCCACATGTAGCCATTCCCATTTTAATTGATCAAAATCACCTCAAATGACAAATTTAATTCCTCACTCACAATGTTTCAGGGACTCAAATGCCACTTGTGGCTAGTGGCTAATGTACCAGACTATGCAGACAGAACATTTCCCCTGTTCCAGACAGGTTTGCTGGAGATAAAGAGTCTCACAGGAGAGGGGCTTAGGAAGGTGGCTCAGTGGTAGAGCGCTTGCCTTGCATGCCTGAGGCCCTGGGTTCGATTCCTCAGCACATAAACAAAAAGAAAAAAGCCAGAAGTGGCGCTGTGGCTCAAGTGGTAGAGCGCTAGCCTTGAGCTGAAGAGCTGAGGGACAGCGCCCAGACCCAAAGGCCCCACGACCGGAACCCCTCACCCCCCCCCCCCAAAAAAAAAAAGTGTCACAGGAGAGTCTTGCTCCTGGGACCATGCCTGGAATACAGCACCCCCATCCCCACCCTCCCTGCCCGCGTGCCATAGCTCGGTGTACCTGGCTCTTCTTCTCCTTTTGCTCTAAGACCCTCTGCAGTGCCTTCTTCTCCTTCTTGGTCAGAGGCTTCTTCTCCTTCTTGGACAGGGGTGGTGCCTTGGTCTTTTTTTTCTTTCTCCCAGGCAGGACAAGTGCATTGCTTGCATCCACTCCTTTCAAGGTGTCTTTGTCTGAAAGAGACAAGCCTGCTTTACCACAGCCCAGAAGCCAGTAAGGGTGGCTGCAGTTCATGCCAGGCCTGCTCCAGCTTCCCGTGCCTCTACAGCACTCTAGATCCATTCTAGAACTACTTGGTCATATTCTTGTTCAGTTCCTATAATGTTATTCCTGATCTACAGCAAGTGCTGGGATCTCTCCTGCATTCCTACAAGGCCAGTGGCTCATTCTTTACTATCTGCTCAGTTGTGCGATCTTCCTATGATAAAACAGCACGAGAGATTTGACTCTACCAATGGAGTAATTTGAACCATACAGGCTACCTCATCTGCTCCCATTCCGTAGTTCCCAGACCATTTTCTGTTCTCTCCATTAATGGGACATCCGTGTGAACACACATACACATTGTGGTATTTCAAAAGTTTCTCACCGGTGGCTTATGCCTGTAATCTTACTCAGGAGGTTGAGGGCTGAAGATCGTGGTTCAAAGCCAGCCTGGGGCAGGAAAGTCTGTGAGACTTTTTTTTTTTTTTTGGGGGGGGGGGGGGGTCCGGTCGTGGGGCCTGAACTCTGGGCCTGGACATTGTCTCTCTGCCCTTCAGCTCAAGGATAGCACTCTACCACTTGAGCCACAGTGTCACTTCCAGCTTTTTTTTCTGCTTATGTGGTGCTGAGGAATCGAACCCAGGGCCTCATGCGTGCAAGGCAAGCGCTTTACCACTGAGCCACCTTCCCAGCCCCTGTGAGACTCTTATCTCCAATAAAACCACTAGAAAACTGAAGTGGCAATGTGGCTCAAGTGATAGAGTGCTCACCTTGAGCTGAAGAGTTGAGACAGCACCCAGGCCCAGAGTTCAAGACCCACCACTGACCAAAAAAAAAAAGTTTATGAAGCTGGGGTTCTGGTGGCTCACTGAACCTATGTCCTAGCTACTCAAATCTAGCAGATATTAGTTCAAAGCCAATTTGGGCAGGAGAATCCTTGAGATTCCATCCCGGACTAACCAGCAAAAAGTCAGGCTGGAGGCATGGCTAAAGTGTTAGCCCACCAGCCTTGAGCAAGAAAACCAAGTAATTTCAAGCCCTAAGCTTAAATGCTAGTTACAGCTGGACATGGGTGGCTCATGCCTGTAATCCTAGCTACTCAGAAGGCTGAGATGTTTGCATGGAAGTTCAAAGGCAGTCCACGCAAGAAAATAAGACTCTTATTTTCAATTAGCCACCAAAAAGTTGGAAGTAGGGCTGTGGCTCAAGTTGTACAGCATCATCCTTTAACAACCACCACCACCAACAACCTAAGGACAGCACCCGGTTCGTGACTTCAAGCCCCAGTACTTCGGGCTTTCTGTTGGCCAACTGGGAATGTTTCCTGAGTCCTCCTGCCCGGGCTGGCTTTGACCCTGATCCTCAGATCCCAGCCCTCAGATTAGCGAGGATTACAGGCTGGCCCCGCGGGCCTACTCGGGAAGGAGGATCCCGGAGCACATCTTGGCCTCTCTCTTCCTTGTAAGTCGAGGCAAAGGGCGTCCGGCTGCCTCTTCTTCCCCGCGGTCGGCACGGGATCGCGTCCTGCCCGCGGCAGGCACGCCCACCGGCACGGGCTCCCGGCGGGCCCGGGCCGAGCGCGCACGCAGGGCCCGGGCAGGGCCCGGCCGGCCGGGGGCGGGACGCCGCGTGGTGGGAGCCGTGGGGCCGCCTCGCTTTCTGGCTCAACCCCCCGCGCCATCACCGTGGGGCCGGTCCCCTCTGGCTTTTCGGCCGGGCGGCCCCGGCCGGGGACGGCGAGGCGGCGGCGCGGCTCGGGCCCGGCCCGGGCCGCCCCTCCCTCCAAGCGCCGGCCGCGCGCCCCGGCGCCTCACCTCCCAGCTCCAGCCGCACGGGCGGCGGCTCGGGCGCGCCCCGCGCCGGCCGGGGCTCCGCCTGCAGGCGCCCCTTGACGTTGTAGCGCCGGCGCAGCTTCCCCATGGCGCCAGCAGCCGCGCGCGGATCCCGCCACGGCCCCCGCGGCTCGGATCCCAGGCCCAGCCCACGTGGGTTCCCACACCCGGATCAGCCCGCGAGACTTCCGGGGTCCGCTCTCGCGAGAACTTGCGCTCGCGGCGGCGCCGGCCGGGGGCGGAGCTTGGGGCGGGGCCTCGCGCGGCGAGGCCAGCGTGGGGCGTGGTCTATTTAAATGAGGAGGGCGGGACTCGCAGTGCTCGTTGCCTAGTAAGAAAGCATAAAATATTTCCATCCCAGACAAAAGATCTAAAAGAAGAAAGCGTTTATTAGCTTAAAGCGCTCATTACCGCGTCACGTCGGCCGAGGTGCGCTCGGAAGTAATGCATTTCCGAGGCTGTAATTATCTTGCAGCTCGAACAGTTAGATCGCACCAGTTTTCTTTTCTGTGAAAAATACGAATGCCTTTAGGTGAACATTTAAATTATATCACAAAGAGATGAAGTTAAATCCTGTCACAAAAGTTCAGAATTTTAGAAATGATAAGGATAGTGTATACGTTCCCTCCCACATCCAAAAAAGAAAAAAAGTAACACCCGGAAGAAAAGGGACCCAGAGAGATAGTCAGTGATCCTGGGGTGCAGCTGGACAGGAAGAATAACTTCATGTTCTACACCCCGGTAGGGTAGCAAGAACTGCATGTGTATTTCAAAATAACTAGTACAGTCCGGTGCTGCCGGCTCCCATCTGTCATCTTTGCTTCTCAGGAGCCCGATATATGAGAACTGAGCAAGGCCCCAGATCTGATCCCCAACACTGCAAAAACAAACAAAATAGATGAAAAAGGAAAGAAAAGAAGGGGGAAAAAAAGAATAAAAAAGAGTCGAGGGTTTTTTGTTTTTTTTTTGGGGGGGGAGGGTCTGGTCGTGGGGCCTGAACTCTAGGCCTGGGCGCTGTCCCTCAGCTCTTCAGCTCAAGGCTAGCACTCTACCACTTGAGCCACAACACCACTTCTGGCTTTTTTCTTTTTGCTTATGTGGTGCTGAGGAATCGAACCCAGGGCCTCATGCTTGCAAGGCAAGCGCTCTACCACTGAGCCACCTTCCCAGAACAGGCTATTTTGATTTGCATATGTAAGGGAGATAATAATTTCTACCTTCTGAAGTTTGGATAAATTATTGTTTATGAAACAGATATAGAAGATAACAGGAGAAAAATAGCTTTAATTTTGTGCATGCGCACAAAAGAGCGAGAAGGGTGAGAGTCAAGTTTTCATCATGGCTAGATCCAGGATCCTGGAGGAAGAATCCGGGAGACAAAGGTCTTCTGTGCAGATCAAGTTGTTCCTCGGTGGTAGAGGATAGAATAGGGACTGGCCTGTGCTAAGGTCCATAAAGAGGACTCAGTGGATAAAAGAGTTCCAGCTCACAGGAAGTCCTGCTCTGTGCCTGTGCTTCCCCAAATTCTGTGGGTTGCAGTAACCAGCCAAGCAGAGCTGCGAACTTGGGGTGCTGTTTCCTGGACTCCTTCAGAAGCATTACTTTTTTAGAATGCATTACATTTGATGTGGTGGGTCTTAAATCTTTTTTTTTTTTTTCCAAGTCACCTGGCTTGAACTCTGGGCCTGGGCGCTATCCCTTAGCTCTTCGGCTCAAGGCGAGCACTCTACCACTTGAGCCACAGCGCCACTTCCGGTTTTCTGGTGGTTCATTGGAGATCAGAGTTTCACAGATTTTCTTGCCTGGGCTGGACAGTGATCCTCAGATCTCAGCCTCCTGAGTAGCTAGGATTACAGGCGTGAGCCACTGCTCCCAACACACATATATACATGTGCAGATGTGTATGGTATATTATACATAGTTATATAATATACAGCATTGCATAATAGGTTATACATGTGTATATTTTAATTTTTTATTTTTTATTTTTGGGTCCAGTCGTGGGGTCTGAACTCTGGGCCTGGGCACTGTCCCTCAGCTCTTCAGCTCAAGGCTAGCACTCTACCACTTGAGCTACAACGCCATTTCTGGCTTTTTCTGCTTACGTGGTGCTGAGGAATCAAACCTAGGGCCTCAGGCATGCAAGGCAAGTGCTCTACCACTGAGCCACCTTCCCAGCCCCAGACATGTGTATATTTTAAAAGGAGAGGTCACTTGGGTAGGAAAAACCTTATGGGAAGGCCGGAGGGCGGGGCAAATACAGTGCGGCCCGAGCCAGAGGTGCCCGCGGTGGGCGGGGCCAGCGAGGAGGTATCCAGCGACGGGCGGGGCCGTATCGGGGCGGGGCCCTCTAGGGGGCGGGGCGAGCGTCGCGGGGCGGGGCCGTTTCGGGGGCGGGGCGAGCGCGGCAGGGCGGGCTTCCGTGCGCCGGGCGGGTGCGCGGCGGCGGCGGTGGCGGTGGCGGCGGCGGCGGCGGTGGCGGCGGCGGCGGCGGTGGCGGCGGGCAGAGTCGCGGCGCGCACTCCCAGCGCGCCAACGCGGACTCGGCCGGAGCCCGTGGCGGCCTTGCGCGCGGCCTTCACCCCGATCCTCGACCCGCACCGGTGGCCGAGCATGGGCGCGCGGGTGTCGGGCGGGCTCCGAGCCCGGGCCGGGCTGCTGCTCGCGGCGCTGCTGCTGCTGCTGCTGCTCGGGCTGCTGGCGCCCGGCGCGCAGGGGGCGCGGGGCCGCGGCGGCGCCGAGAAGAACAGCTACCGCCGCACCGTCAACACCTTCTCCCAGAGCGTCAGCAGCCTGTTCGGCGAGGACAACGTGCGCGCCGCGCAGAAGGTGGGCGTCGGGCCCGCGCCGCGGTCACCTTGCGGGGCCGCCGCGCCCCGGGCGCCCCGGGCCGCTCGGCGTGGCCTGGCGGGCCGCGCGGGGGCAGGGGCAGGGGGCGCGGGCCGCGGCCGGGGCGGGGGCCTCCGTCGGAGCGCCTCGCGGGCCCGGCCCGCCGCCCCGCGCCCTCTGCCCCGCGCGGCCCCGTCTCCTTGGACCTTGGCCCCGCGCGCTGACGCTCATTCATCCACGTTTCTATGGACTCCACTGTGAGCCAGGCGCCGCGCGGCCCAGCCCGCGCCCTCGGGTTCCTCCCGGTCCCCCCGGCCCCCGCCCCGCCTCGCCCCTCCCTGCCCGGCCCTGCCCGGCCCTGCCCGGCCCCCGCCCGCCGGCCCTCCCCGCGCCCGGTCCGTCCCCAGCGCCGCGGCCGGCTCGGTCGCCCTGGCCTCCCTCCCTTGCAGCCTCTGGTTTACCTGGGGTCCCCGGGAGCCGCGGAGAGCTGGCTCCGCTCCTGCTGGGCCCTCGGGCGGGTGGGGTGGGCGCCCTCCTGGGCAGGGCCCTCGGGTTCCCCAGGAGGCGGAAGTGAGTGGGTGCCTTTGCTGTACCTCCTGTTCTTCCCTGCTGGGGCTCGGGGGCTCTGGGGCGGAGCTGGGGCTCCGGTGGCCTTCGCCCGGTTCCGCTGTCGGTTGAATGGAGGCGTAATTCTCTCCTTCAGTTAGAAGGTTGTCATTGGTAATCATTGGTGCCTTCCCAACCCAGAATCATGGCTCTGATGGTGTCAGCTTTTGGTAGCTCCTGGCCAAGATGCAGGTTCACAGCGCTCAGCTCCACCGTAGGGTTTCCCGTGAAAAGAATACAAACAAAGCAAGCCTTGGCCCTGACGGCTCACACCTGTATTCCTTGCTCTTCAGGATGCTGAGATAGGAGTTCAAAGCCAGCCCAGGCAGGGAAGACCGGGAGACTCATTTCCAAGAAGTTGAGCTCTAGCCTTGAGCAAAATTAAACAAAACCGAGGGACAGCACCTAGGCCCTGATTTCAAGCCCAGGACTCACCTCCCCCACCTGTAGTCCTTGAGATGAAGAGGAAAAGGACATTAAGAACCCAAATCAGACCTATCCTTGTTAGTCAGGGAAAGGAGAGATGGACTAAATCTGTGAGGAAAACTAACTTCTGGTCGGGGGCTAGTGGCAAATGCCTGTCTTCCTAGCTCCTTGGTAAGCTGAGATCTGAGGATCCTGGTTCAGAGCCATCCTGGGGCAGGAAAGGCCTTTAAATTCTTATCTCCAATTAACGCCCTGAAAATTGGAAGTAGCCTGTGGCTCAAAGTGGTGGAGCACCAGCCTTGAGCTGAAGAGCTCTGGGACAGCACTCAAGCCCCTTGACCAACACCAACAAAAACCCTCTAGCTTCTCCCCACCCTGGCCTCTTGCATGGCTTTGGCCTGGGAGCTGCTGATATGGCAAACAGTGTGCAGGTGAGGACACCGGACAGGGTTCAGGGGAGGAAGAGCTGGTAGGATGGGCCAGTAAGAGCCAGGATTCTTGCTTTCCTGTACTGCTCTGCTCAGCCCATGGAGGGCAGCAGCCGTTTGTCTCAGGGCAGAAGGAAGTCTGCAAAAAGCCCAAGGAAGCCCTGTCCCTGCCCCTCTCCACATGAGGCTGAACTCAAGAGGAGGTACAGTGAACCTCACTAAGATGGCTGGTCATATTCCAGCTGAGAACCTGTGTGTGTGGAGGGGTGTCAGCTCCCTCGGGTGTGTGTGTGTGGTTTGACAGAGGTTGTGGTTTGCTGAAAAGCGAAGTGCTTTTTATAGGGAAATGCCTATGGTTATTTCATATTTCAAATGAAATGGTTATTTCATTTGACTTGTAGGTCATGGAGATGAAACCCAGGGTCTCACACATACTGAGCACTGAACCACAGGCCCAGCTCTCATTTAATTCTTCTTCTTTTTTTAAATTGGTGTGGGGCTTGAACTCAGGGCCTGGGCATTGTCCCTGAGCTTATTTGCTCAAAGCTAGTGCTCTACCACTTTGAACCTCAGCACGACTTCCAGTTTTTTGGTGGTTAAGGGTTTCATGGAAAGCTGGGAAGGGGGCTTAGTGTAGAGTGCTTGCTTAGCATGCATGAAATCCTGGTTTCCATTCCTTAGTACCACATGCATAGAAAACATCAGAAGTGGTGTTATTGTTTAAGTGGTAGAATGCTAGCCTTGAGCAAAAGAAGCTCAGGGACAGTGCCCAGGCCTGGGGGCGCGGGGAAGAAGAGTTTCATGGACTTTCCTGCCTGGACTGGCCTTGAATCTTGATCCTCAGGTCTCAGCCTCTTGAGTAGCTAGAATTATAGGCTTGAGCCACCTGTATGTGCTGGTGGTTGTAGTCTTCAGCCTGCTTGGATTTACAAATTCATGCCAGACCTGCTGAGGTTGTAAAGTTGAAACCCTGTGAAGAAACCCACCTGCTGCTCTAGCACTTCCTTTCTGGCCCTGCCCTTGCTGTCATGGGACGCGGGTTAGGCCATGCTTTGCTGCATGTTGGCTCTGACTGGGGCTAGCTGCTTTCCCTCTCTGTGCTTCCTTTCAGGGCAGGGCTTGGACTGGGTGGGATTGCATTCACATAGATTTATCTGGAAGGGAGGTGAGGTAGGTATGCCTCTGTATTTATTTTTTTTGTCGGTCGTGGGGCCTGAACTCTGGGCCTGGGCGCTGTCCCTCAGCTCTTCAGCTCAAGGCTAGCACTCTACCACTTGAGCCATAGCGCCACTTCCGGCTTTTTCTGCGTATGTGGTGCTGAGGAATCGAACCTAGGGCCTCAAGCATGCAAGGCAAGCGCTCTACCACTGAGCCACCTTCCCAACCCCCTGTTTTTGTTTTTTGTTTTGCTAGTCCTGAGGCATGAATTCAGGGCCTGGGCTCTGTCCCTGAGCCTTTATGTATATGCTCAAGGCTAGTGCTCTACCACTTGAGCCACAGTGCCGCTTACAGCTTTTTCTGTTTATGTGGTACTGAGGAATCGTACCTGGGGCTTCATGCCTGCCAGGTGAGCACTCTACCCAACCCCCCCCCCCCTTTTTTTTTAAATCATAAGCAGATCAGTAGTAGACTTGAGTGCTTAACCTGTACAAGGCCTTGGGTTCAGCAGCAAGTACCCCTTTCCACCCATCAATAAAGAGGCTGGGCAGCTGGCAGCTGAGTGTTGTGATTCTCTTTTCACAGTCTTATGTGTCCCCAGTGTCTGTCAGCTGTGGCAGGCGAGTGCTGGTGGGGTGGAGCATGGTTCTGTCATAGACCAGACCCAGGCGGTGATGAGTGTGATGATGGGGTCTCCTTTGAGTGATGAGAACGGCCGCAGCTATGCAGAGGAAGGATTGCCAGACACCAGGGGTGATTCCTGCCGCTGGGTCACACTGGTGACCTAGAATGATTTTAATAGTGCCGGGCACTGGTGGGTCACACTTGTAATCCTAGCTACACAGGAGGCTGAGATCTAAGGATTGCTGTTTGAAGCCAGCCTGGGCAGGAAAGTCGATGAGACTTCTCTTTTACCACCAAAAAGTTGTAAGTGGAGCTGTGGCTCAGGTGGTAGAGCACTAGCCTTGAACATAAAAGCTCAGGAACAGTGTCTAGGCCCTGAGTTCAAGTCCCAGTACTGGCACACACATAGAGATTTCAATAGTGAGTTTGGTAAGTTAGGTTTGTTTGCTTTTTTTGCTGGCGCTCTACCGCTGGAGCCAGAGATCCACTGTAAATTGTTCCAGTGGACTTGACTCACATGGCCTGTGGGCATCTTTTAAATAGTAGCCGCTGCGGCTGTGGACAACATGGGGCATTATCCCGGAAGTCCCCTCCAGGTAGCCAAGGCCACTTGGCCTGTTGTCTGATAGCGTTTATTTTCTTTCTTTCTTTTTTTTTTTTTTTTGGGCTGGTCATGGGGCCTGAACTCTGGGCCTGGGCGCTGTCCCTCAGCTCTTCAGCTCAAGGCTAGCGCTCTACCACTGGAGCCACAGCGCCACTTCCGGCTTTTTCTGTTTATGTGGTGCTGAGGAATCGAACCCAGGGCCTCATGCTTGCAAGGCATGCACTCTACCGCTGAGCCACCTTCCCAGCCCCTGATAGTGTTTATTTTCTGTCCTTTATTCAGACCTTTTAAGACTGCAACCTACAGGCAGGCAGTGTTGCAGCCCTCCCGTCCATGGCATTTGCCTTTTATTTTTATTTTTAACTGTTACTGTCGGTTGTGGGGCTTGAACTCAGGGCCTGGGCGCTGTCCCTCACTCTTGTGCTCAAGGTGATGCTCTTGCCATTTTGAGCCACAGCGCCACTTCTGGTTTTCTGGTGATTATTGGAGATCAGAGTCTCACAACCACTATTCTAAGATCTCAGGCTGCTGAGTATGGGATTACATGCGTGAGCCACTGGCAACCTCCTGTGTTTTTTATTATAGTGGGAGAGCTGATGTTGCCTTGGGAATCCATCGTGACCTGCTTCTGTAGAAACTGCTCGTTTTCATTCTTCCAGGAGCATTGCTCCTTTGTTGTTTTAAAGAAGCATGCAGTCCCCCCCCCCCAGTTTGCCAGCAAGAAAGTAATGTGAGTAAAATCACTTTGCCACCTTTCGTAACGGCTGCAGTTGAGAGTGTGGCTTGGCGGATTGTGACGCGCACACTGAGCCATCCCCAGTGACCATCAGAGCTAGGCGCCACACGCCTATAATGTCAACTTCTCAGGAGGTGCAGCTCTGAGGGTCTTGGGCAGGAAAGTCCAAGAGACCATCTCCAATCACCCACCCAAAAGGTGGAAGTGGAGCTGTGGCTCAAGTGTTAGAACACCATCCTTGAACACCAAAGCTAAAGGAGAGCACCAAGGCCTTGAGTTCAATCCCCAGTACTGCCAAAAAAAAATAAAATAAAATAAGATAACCATTAAGATAACAGGAAGGTCATGGCGGCCCCGCCCCCCCCCCCCCCCCCCCCCCCAGTGCCGCCCGTCTGGGCCTCCCTGCAGCTTCTGAGGAGGCCGGAACGCAGGCGCCAAGGACCCTGAGCCCCCACCGCTAGGGCTGGACATTCTGTGAAGGTTTCTGTGAAGGGCGCAGGCACACAGAGCCCCGGGCTCCCCTCTGCACCCCTCTGCACCCCTCACCTGCCCTCCGGGCGTCGCCTTCCTGCCATTGTGCTGTGTCATCTCTTCAGAGTCCTGAGTTTCCTTTGTCGCTGCAACCCAGGGTCTGGGTTACCCAACTCTGTGTGTGTGTGTGTGTGTGTGTGTGTGTGTGTAAGAAAGAGAGCGCGCGTGTGTGTGAAAGAGAGAGAGAGCGCGCGTGGGTCTGGGTTACCCAACTCTGTGTGTGTGTGAGTGTGTGTGTGTGTGTGTGTGTGAAAGAGAGAGAGCGCGAACGAGAACGTGCAAGAGAATGTGAGTGAACCAGCATTGGTATTTTAACTACTCAACGTTGCATGCTTTCACTGATTTTTTTCCTCCCTCATGGATGGTGCTGTGCCTGTTGAGCCACACTTCCAGTCAGACTTTTAGCTGGTTAATTGGAGGTAGAGTCTTGTAGTCTTTCCTGTTCAGACTGGCTTCAGACCACGATCCTCTGATCTGAGCCTCCTGAGTAGCTAGGGTTAGATAGGCGTGAGCTGCTGTGCCCGGCTCTACATTTAAGTATAAAACAGTCGAGCTGTGTTATTCCTTTCTCTGGGTGGAGCCAGGGGGAGGAGCATGGGTGGGCCTTGCAGTTGTCTGACGAGGTGGCATCAGATCTGCTGACACCTGCAGGGTCCTGTGTGGCCCTGGCATACTTCCCGCCCAGTCCAGCTGAGAAAGGACCTCTGGCCTAGACTCTGTGCCTGCCGGTGCGGCAGGTGTAGCAGGCTCCTGGTGCAGCCACCGCTGTATGAGCCTGACCTGGCTCTGGGTGGGAGCATGTTTGCTGCAACATGCAGATCTGACGGGGACAAACTTTGGCTGCCTGTCGTGTGTCAGGCTCTGTGCTGCAGCCTCTGCAGGTTCTCATGTAGATTGTCTCTTGGTCCCATTTCCCAGCTGGAGAGACTGAGGCCCAGCGAGGTTGGCAGGAGTAGCGCTGTCTCTGGTCCCTGAAAAACTGCTTGTGGGGGCTGGGAAGGTGGCTCAGTGGTAGAGCGCTTGCCTTGCATGCTTGAGGCCCTGGGTTCGATTCCTCAGCACCATATAAGAAAAAAGCCGGAAGTGGTGCTGTGGCTCAAGTGGTAGAGCGCTAGCCTTGAGCAGAAGAGCTGAGGGACAGCGCCCAGGCCCAGAATTCAGGCCCCACGACAGGACTTCCCCCCCCCCCCCCAAAAAAAAAAGGCCAGGCATGGTGGCTCACACCTGTCATTCATTCCAGCTACTCTGGAGGCTGAGATCCAAGGATGGAGGCAGATAAATCCGAGAGATTCTCTTCTCCTAAAACCAGCAAAAAAGCCAGAAATGGATCTGTGACTCAAGTGGTAGAGCACTAGCCTTAAACAAAAAAGCTCAGGAACAGAGTTCAGGCCCTGAGTTCAAGCTCCAGAACTGGCACATGTGTGCGCGCACACACACACACACACACACACACACACACAGAGAACATTTTTAAATGCTTTATTTTTAGAGTTAAATAATAAACTGAGGGCTGGGAAGGTGGCTCAGTGGTAGAGTGCTTGCCTTGCATGCATGAGGACCTGGGTTCGATTCCTCAGACCACATAAACAGAAAAGGCCGGAAGTGGCTGTGGGCTCAAGCGGCTAAGTGCTCGACTTGAGCCAAAGAGCTGAGGGACAACGCCTAGGCCCAGAGTTCAGGTCCACAACCGGTAAAATAATAATAATAATAAACCGAGAAGTGTTCGTTCAGAACGAGTGTTATTGAGAGGAGTTCCATTTCGTAGTGAGGTGGATGGCTGCTTTGCAGCTCCCGTTTTCTGAGCAGCGTGCCTGTGCAGGGCACTGCAGCAGCAGTCAGCGGCATGCCTTTTGCCTGCTGGAATTCCTGGACAGTAGAGAGTCCACCAAAGGTGCTCAGCTGTCCGAGGGACTGTGAAAGCAAAAAAAAAAAAAACCAGCGAGTTATGACTAAGTTTTTGTTTTTGGTTGGTCATGGGGCCTGAACTCTGGGCCTGGGTGCTGTCCCTCTGTTCTTCAGCTCAAGGCGGGTACTCTACCTCCTGAACCACAACACCACTTACAGTTTTCTGGTGGTTAGTTGGAGATAAGAGTCTCACAGACTTTCCTTGCCTGGGCTGGCTTTGAACCATGATCCTCAATCTCAGCCTCCTAAATAGCTAGGATTACAGGTGTGAGCCACTGGTACCTGGCTGACTAAGCTATTTTGGTACAGAACCTTATCTCACAAGTTTTGTTTGTTTATTTCTTTTTGCCGGTCCTGGAGCTTAAACTCAGAGCCTGAGCACTGTCCCTGAGCTTGTCTGTGCTCAAGGCCAGCGCTCTACTACTTGAACCACAAGCCACTTCCCATTTTTTCTGTTTATGTGGTACTGAGGAATCAAAGTCAGGGCTTTATGCATGCTAGGCAAGCACTCTACCACCAAGCGACCTTCCCAGCCCCACAAGTTATTCATTTCAGTTAAACTTGATAGAAATTTATTTATAAAATCCTAGTCTTTAGAAATTCAAAGCCAAGCTGGGTGCTGGTGGCTCACGCCTGTAATCCTAGCTACTTACGAGGCTGAGATCTGAGGATCATGGTTCAAAGCCAGCCCAGGCAGGAAAGTCTATGAGATTCTTTTTTTTTTTTGGGTCCGGTCGTGGGGCCTGAACTCTGGGCCTGGGCACTGTCCCTCAGCTCTGCAGCTCAAGGCTAGTGCTCTACCACTTGAGCCACAGCGCCACTTCCAGCTTTTTTCTTATGTGGTGCTGAGGAATCGAACCCAGGGCCTTGAGCATGCAAAGCAAGCGCTCTACCACTGAGCCACCTTTCCAGCCCCCTATGAGATTCTTATCTCCAGTAAACCACTAGAACACTGGAAGTGGCGTTGTGGCTCAAGACCTAGAGCATTAGCCTTGAGCTGAAGAGCTTACAGCTCAGTGCCCAGGCTCAGAGTTCAAGCCCCATGACTGGACCCAAAAAAAAGAGCTGAGGGACAGCGCCCAGGCCCAACGACCTACCAAAAAAAAAAATTTCAAAGCCAGGCAGAGGAGAGCGGAGGTCGGACCAGCACCCAGAGCAGAAATACAGGAGAAATGGCAAGCACTGTGATAGCAACTTTGTGTGTCCCATAAAGTGGGCACAGTTACTGTTGCCTGCTGTCCATGTGCCTGTGTGCTGGGTTCGAGTTCATCCTCCAGCTTTCTGGTAGACTGCATGGTATCAGTTGTGGGCAGCTAGAAGGTGTGAACATGGGCTCAGGTTTGCTGCTTGGATGGTTTGGGGAGATCAGGAGGTGTTGGCTGGTTTCTTGGTGACCTTGTTCTCTATTCCTGCAGTTCTTGACCCGCCTGACGGAGAGGTTCGTGTTGGGAGTGGACATGTTTGTGGAGGCGCTGTGGAAAGTTTGGATGGAGGTCTTGGATGTTCTTGGGCTTGACGGTAGGTGCTGTGTGTTATAGGGTTGTGTGTTTTTGAAAGTCCTTCACTGTTTTCTTTGTGTGAGATAAGGTCCTGCTGTATAGCCCAGGCTGACCTTGAACTCCTCATCCTGCGCCTGAGTGCTAGGATCGCAGGCGTTGTTATGGTAGGGCTCTCACCTTGTGGCCGCTGGGCGGTGTGGGAGACCGAGGCTGGTCTAGGGTTTGCGTGGATTAGTGGTGGTGAGGCGGGTCTTCCCAGATCCCATGCAGGAGGAGGGTGGGCCACGGGGCCTGTGGGGTGCTCCCTGGGTCGGTGGGAGCCGAGAAGCAGCTGGGCGTTGGGCCTGTGGGGTTTCACAGATGAGGAGGGGGCATTTGCAGCGGCCCCCTCCCCAGGGGCAGAGGGCCACGCGTGGCCTGGCAGTGGCAGCTGCAGGGGAGCCGGGCAGTCCTGCGGGCTGTGCGAGTGGTGGGCAATAAGCCATTTGGGGCCGGAAGGCAGTTGCATGGTGCAATTTAGTTGTGCAATGGCGGGCACAGGTTCCTAGCCAGGAGGAGAGCTGTGGGCCTGTCCTGCGGGGCCACACATGGGGAGGCCAGTGCCCTTTCATGGCACTCACCGGGGGTAGACCAAGGCTAACCTGGCCAGACACCTACTGCTTTGGTGTCCTGACCACTTGTCCCTGTGTGGCTGCCCGGCCTGCGGGGGAGGGGGGGAAGAAGGGGGGGGAGAGTGGGGGAAACACCCAGCTCTCCCTGAAGCCCCACATAGGGAGCCCCCATGCGCCTGCTGGCCTCATGCCCACAAGTCCACATGTGAACGCTCTGCGTCCCTGCCACCCGCACTGGAAAAGCAGAGCGGCAAGGGCATTGGGCACCAACCCGGGCGACCAGGCTCCGCCTTCTCCCAGTGAAAGCACAGGCTGAGCCGCTTTCCTCGGCAGTGTGACGGCCAAGGGCCTGTGCCGCCTGTGGACGCCTCTGCCTGGCATGAATCAAATCAGCAAACTTGCTGGGTGCTGGTGGCTCACGCCTGTCATCCTAGCTACCCAAGAGGCTGGGATCTGAGGATGCAGGTTCTGGTTCAGGCTGGAAAGTCCATGAGACTCTTCAGTATCTCCAAAGAACAACCAAACAACAACAGCTCCCTTGCAGGAGGGCGGTTGTGTGCTGCCCTAAGCCCAGGCTGCCACTCAGGCTCACAGAGGAGACCGTTTCTGCTTTGTCCCCGCAAGGTGGGCTTGTGCCCATGGGGATGAGCACACTTGTGGAGTAACCCAAATTGGGCCGGGGCCTGATCTGAATGACTTCTGTCCTTATACGAAGTGCGAAGTTTCAGCCAGGCGCTGGTGGCTCATGCCTGTCATCCTAGCTGCTCAGGAGGTTGAGATCTGAGGATCGAGGTTCAAAGCCAGCCCAGGCAGGAAAGTCTGTGAGACTCATCTCCAATAGACCACTAGAAAACCAGAAATGGCGGTGTGGCTCAGGTGGTAGAGCGCTTGCCTTGAGCTGAAGAGCTGAGGGACAGTGCCCGGCCCAGAGTTCAAGACCCATAACTGACCAAAAAAAAAAGAAGTGGGTAGTTTGGGCAGAGACACAAAGAAGCATTGAGCAGCGACCCCATGCAGATGCCAGGAGATGGAATGGGGGCCCAGGGACACCCAGAGGCACCAGGAGCGGCAGGAGGCTGCTGCTCTAGCTGTCCAAGCCCACACCCCTCTTCAGAGATCTGGGCCCAGCGCCACGCTGGTGGGGGCACCGCTCACCCCTTGGCCACCTGGTGCCCTTTTGAGGCCAGGACCAGTGGTTTCCACCTTAGCAAGACCTTAGACAAGCTGGGGTACCGCTTTGGGCCCCGGAAGAATCAGAGGCGGCAGAGAGGAGAGAGCACTAACAGCTCCCGGGACCTGGGTGAGCCAACACATCAGCCAAACCCTGCAACTGTGTGCAATCTGGGCCCGCCCATGCCCCGGGGACGCCAGGCTGGGCAGGAGTGGGGGAGGGCCTGATGTGGCCTGCACCCCTCTAGTCTTCCCTGGTGTACTTCCTGCATGCAAGCTGCCAAGAGTCCAGGGCTTAGGGCTGTGTCACGTGCTCCTCCTTGTGCAAAGGTGGGTATTTTAGTGCAAAGACATTTCCAGGTCAGTTGACACTTTGGTTCTTCATTGTTCTTCAGGGTGGCAGTTCAACCCAGAAGCAGAATGTGAGGCTGGGCGTGGTGGTGCCTGCCTGTAATACCAGCACTTGGGAGGTGAAGGGCTGTGGGTTTGAGTCTGGCTTGGACTGTAGTGAGGCCTGTCTCAGTCGAGTCAAGTCAGGAGAAAAGGGTGAATATGACTTTGATAGGTTTATTAACATCTGTACAGTCATTAGTGATGTCTTAGTTTCCAGGTACATGCTGGCATCCCTGCCCCGAAAATTCAGTCTGAAATCTGAAACTAGTGTTACTGCAATGCTGGACATTTTTTGGGGGGCCTTGAACTCAGGGCCTAGGCTCTTTGCCTTAGTCTTTTTTTTTTTTCTTCGGTCGTGGGGCTTGAACTCTGGGCTTGGGCGCTGTCCCTCAGCTCTTCAGCTCAAGGCGAGTGCTCTACCGCTTGAGCCACAGCACTACTTCCGGTTTTCGAATGGTTTATTGGAGATTAGAGTCTCATGGACTTTCCTTGCCCAGGCTAGCTTTGAACCGTGATCCTCAGATCTCAGCCTCCTGAGTAGCTAGGATGACGGGCATGAGCCACCGGCGCCTGGCTACCTTAGTCTTTTCTTGCTCAAGGTGGCGCTTAACCACTTGAGCCACAGCTCTACCTCCAGCATTTTGGTAGTTTATTGGCGATAAACTGCCTGGCTTCAAGCCTTGATCCTCAGATCTCAGCCTCCTGAGTAGCGAGAACCACAGGGAAGGTGATGGTTCATCCGCGGAGGGTGCCTGATGAGAGACGTGAGCTTCTGCACTGGGTTGGGGCCAGTAGGCGCATGGAGATGGGGCAGAGCAAACTGTGCTGCTGGCTTTGCCACAGACTTTCCATTGCCTCTGTGCTTCTGTCTGTAAGTCCCCCGAGGGGGGACTGTGGGCAGTGCCGCTCCCTCTCTTCACTCTGTTCTTGTGGACCACTTTGGGAAGAAGAGACCCCAAATAGCTTAAGTAATGGGGCTTGCCGCTTCCCAGTGCCCTAACTCAGGTAGGTTCACCAGGAGGGGCTGCAGGTGTGATGGCTCCACACCTTGTCCTCAGGACCAAGACACCTTCCATTTTATTACCCACATAGGTGACTTACCTTACTTCACGGCCCAAGATGGCTACATCAGCTCTAGCCTTTGCATCCACATCCCAGCAGGCAGAAAGAGAAAAGGTAAAGGGCACATTCCTGCTTTTTTCTTTTCTTTTTTTTGGTGCCAGTACTGGAGCTTGAAGTCAGGGCCTCATGTTCTCGCTTGCCTTTTTTTGGCTTTTGCCACTTGAGCTATGCCCAGTCCAGCTTTTATGTTTTTGTTTCTAAGAGTCTCATACTTTTCTACCTGGGCTGGCTGTGAACCTTAGCCCTCAGAACTCAGCCTCTTGAGGAGCTAGAATTAGAAGCGTGAACCATTGGTGCCCGACTGTTACTTCCATTTTATTTTGTTGTCAGTCCTAGGGCTTGAACTCAGGGCCTGGGGCCCTGAGCTTGCTTGCTTTTTCTTTTCCTCAAGGCTACCCATCCTCAAGGCTACTTTGAACTACAGCTCCACTTTGGTTTTCTGGTGGTTCACTGGAGATAAAGAGTCTCACAGATTTTCCTGCCCAGGCTGGCTTCAAACCATGGTCCTCAGATCTCAGCCTTCTGTGTAGCTAGGATTGTAGCATGAGCCATTGTGGCCTGGCTTCAATTGAAACTTGTAGAAAACTTAAAGCTCCGGCAGAACATTTTGATGCACTACTCCTTGGCCAAAACTTAGTTGCAAGGGAAGCTGGGAAATACATATACATATATGTGTGTGTATATATATCTGTGTATGTATATATATATGTAATATACATACATATATTTATATTTTTTTCTTTCTAGTCCTGGGGCTTGAACTCAGGCCTGGGCTCTCTCCCTGAGCTGCTTTGCTCAAGGCTAGTACTCTACCACTTTGAGCCATGGTGCCACATCTGGTTCCTTTTGTGTATGTGGTACTGAAGAATGGAACCCAGGGCTTCATGCATGCTAGGCAAGCGCTCTACCATTGAGCCACCTTCCCAGCCCTTGTTGTTTTTGGCAGTCTCAGTGTGTATCTCTCCGTAGATCTCTCCCCAGTGCTGGGATTGCAGGCGTGTGCGACCACGCTCACCTGAACAGTGTGTGTGACTCAGGGCAGGACAGGCAGTCTTCCAGGGCTACCTGTGTCTGCTCACAGCTTAGTTTGCAGGGTTTAGGGTTGTGGGGAGTTGAGTTGCTCCTGGCCTCTGCAGAGGGCCCTCTCCTGGAAGAAGCGCCTGACCTGTCTGTTCTGTGCTCTCTCCGCAGTGTCCAACTTGTCCCAGTACTTCAGCCCAGCCTCCGTGTCCAACAGCCCGGCCCGGGCCCTCCTGCTGGTGGGTGTGGTCCTCCTGGCCTACTGGTTCCTGTCTCTGACCTTGGGCTTCACCTTCAGCATCCTGCACCTGGTGTTCGGCCGCTTCTTCTGGCTGGTGCGGGTGGTGCTGTTCTCCATGTCGTGCGTGTACATTCTGCACAAGTACGAGGGTGAGCCCGAGAACGCCGTGCTGCCGCTGTGCCTCGTGGTGGCCGTGTACTTCATGACGGGGCCCATGGGTGTGTACTGGCGGGGCAGCCCGGGCGGCACGGGCTCCCCCAGCGTGGAGGAGAAGCTCGACCACCTGGAGAACCAGGTCAGACTGCTCAACATCCGCCTCAACCGGGTGCTGGAGAGCCTGGACCGCTGCAAGGACAAGTGAAGGTCAGGTGCCCGGCCGGGTCCCCGGGCGCCAGCTCCCACTCCCAGAAGACAGAAGAGGAAGAAAGCCACCACCCCCCGGCCCCCCCCCCAGTCTTAATAAACAGCACTGAGCAAGAAAGTGGCGCCTGCTGAGCCTGGGCGCCAACCCTTAGGACCCGCAGAGAAGACAGAGATGGCCGCTGCAGCTCCATGCCGAGTCTTGTTAGTGGCGACAATATTTTTTAAACAAAAGGATATGACCCTAGAAGCTGTACAGTAAGAGAAATTTATCTGTGCATAGAACATAAAGTTAATTTTTCAAGCATTGACAAATACATCTTTTGTAAGGTTTTTAAATAAAGGCAGCTGGAGTTGAGCGTAGTAGAACGTTGCCTGGAGGGGGCGGGGTGCTGGGCTGACATTCTAGCCAAGTCTGAAGGCCAGCCCTGGCTTTGAACGAGGAAGGACGGTGGGTGAGGTCTGCGTGTCATCTTCGTCCCCAAAGCTGCAAGCTCTACTCTGTCATTTGGGGTTCGTGTTGGCACCGTGGATGGCACCTGGAATGGAATGTCAGCTCGGGCACCCCGCTGAGCCCCGCTGAGTCCTGTCGAATTGGGAAGAGCCCTGGCTTCTTTTCTTTTTTTCTTTCCTTTTCCTCCTTTGTACTAGGAGATGTTTGATGTTTCCAAAAGGAAAATATAAGCACAGCGCTAAGAGACATAGTGTCTGTGGGGTGTGGTGCCAAGAGCTGCTTGGGTAAGCCTTGAAGAACATTCCAGAATCTGATTCCATTCCACTTTCTCTGTCTTTCAGAGAGGTCTGTGTGGGAAAGTGGTACTCTGGACAGTTTTTGTCTGTGCTTTTTTTGGGTTCTGGACGCAGCTAAGGAGACTTAATCGTTGTCTCCTCGTGCAGGGTTCCTGGGCTCACAGCAGCCATGGAGGTTGGGATGATTGTCCTAGCATTGTATCATTGCGTGTGTTCCTCGCTTTGTGGCCAGCGTGGTGGATCTCCAGTTTCGATGGTCTCTGGGGTTGGAGAGAAGCACCCACAGGGTGGCAATCAAGGTCCTGGGCAGCGTTTGGGCTGAGGCTGATGACCAAGGCTCTGTGTGCTAGGAGCCGGTGACGACAGGGTGCCAGGCTATCAGGATGAGGCCATGAAGGCCGTCTGGCTGTGGCCATGCCCGCAGGCCGTGCATCCCGAACCTGACCACCTGCCAGTCCTTGAGCCCCAGTGCCGCGTGTGGTAGTGATTCTCTGGGAAATGATGCAAATCTTTTAGGGGAAGTTTCTAAAACTTGTCTTTTTCAGGGGAACATAACAGAATGGCAGATCTTGTATTCAGATTGCTTGGTGGAGCACCCTTGCCCGGGCTCCGCCTTGGTTGGTCTTCACCTGGGCATCACGGATGCCAGTGTTCTGTGTGGAGCCATTCCAGTCCCTTGGATGACTCTGTGAATCTGGGACAGAGTATTTAGGAACGGTGGCCACAGCACGTACTTGCCTGTTTCAGTACCAAAAGATGGCTCTCCTGTGCTGCCTGGAGGAGGCAGAGAGGGGTTGGGAGGGCAATGCGTGCACGAGGCTGGCGCCCTGCCCCTGCGGAGCTCCTGCAATACAGATGGGTGCCTTGGTTTCCCTTTCCCTTCCCCCTCTCCCACCTGGAGCCTGAGGCCTGCGCTCCTGTGCCCAGAGACTTGTGGACTCATGTCTGTGCCAGGGGGTTGAGGCTTCAGACATCGGCTGAAAAACGCCATCAGAAATGTGCCCTGTGGTCTCTGGGTTTGAGCTCAGGGCCTCCCGATTTCCCTTGGCTTTTTCACTCCACCACTTCAGCCATTGCTCCCCTTTTTGGTAGTTAATTGGGGATCAGAGCCTCAGGCTTTTCTGCTTAGGGTGTCTTTGAACTAGGATCCTCATATCTCAGCCTCCTGTATAGCTAGAAGTACAGGCGTGAGCCACTGGCACAGACTGGTTTTATTATTTTATTTTTTTTAGGGAGCCTCACTCCAGGGTAGAACATTCCATGAAATTTGGAGCAAAGTCTCAGATGCTTGCTTTGAAGTTTTGGAGTTGTGTTTGCCGTATAAAGTGTGTGATGTTTCAGTGAGTGCATTCTTAACCCGAAAGAGTCAGGGACGGACGCTGCTTTTCCTTCTTGTGCCCTGGAAGATTGTAGTGCGCGCTCCCCCCCCCCCCCCCCACTCTCTTTTCTCTTTTGTATGTGGGAAAATGTATTTTTGTACCGTATCTCATACCTTGAAGAGAAGCCTTTTTTTAAAAAATCTTCAAGGCTATAGAATCTATTAGTCTGCACTTCATGGAATGTGGTGGGGAAACGTTTTCCTGACAACACTGTGGGTGTGTGGTAATTAAGGGCCACTTTTTTCACAGTATCATCAGTGTTCCGTTTCCCCCGTGCTTCAGGACCACGTTGAATGTTGGCATTGGTGGGCACAGGGGCTGGGCTCCGGCGCTGTTGGGGTCTGGGGCAGGTAGGGATCTTTTCCTGTGACCCGAGCCAGGACAGTAGAGGGTGGCTTCCTTAGCCGTCCAGGGCCCTTGGCATAAGTCACTTCGGGTTCCTAGTCTCTGCACTCCAGCCCCAGCGTCCCGGTCAGGGGCTCACAGGCTCTGAAGGTAGCCTCATGGGCTTTGCTGTGTCACCTGTTGTGACGGTAACTGACCACACAGAGATGAAGCTGGCAGACCGGCTCTACAAGAAATTATTTGTTGGGGCTGGGAAGGTGGCTCAGTGGTAGAGTGCTTGCCTCACATGCATGAAGCCCTGGGTTCGATTCCTCAGCACCACATAAGCAGAAAAAGCCAGAAGTGGCGCTGTGGCTCAAGTGGTAGAGCGCTAGCCTTGAGCTGAAGAGCTGAGGGACAGCGCCCAGGCCCAGAGTTCAGGCCCCATGACCACCCCATCCCCCCCAAAAAAAAGTTATTTGTGGGCTGGGAAGGTGGCTCAGTGGTAGAGCGCTTGCCTTGCATGCATGAGGCCCTGGGTTCGATTCCTCAGCACCACATAAACAGAGAAATTATTTGTGTAGGCTCTGGGCTTGTACTTGGCCTGGCCTTAGCTTTTTCGCTTAATCCTGGCACTCTGTGCCTTGAGATGCAGCTCTGCTTTCAGGCTGTTTAATCAGAGGTAAGCCTCCAGGCTGGCTTCAAACCGCAATCCTAGGCTCTCATCCTCTGGTGTGGCTAGGATTACAGACGTGGCCACGAGCGCCTGGCTTCCTCAGAAGGTTTTGGATACAAGTCCCCCAAAGAAGAGGCACAGCGGGCCAGCTCTGCTGTGTGAGCCCGGGTGTGGAGGGCGCTTGCTGAGGAGCGAGGAAAGGGAGAGACCTTTCTGGGTGCCGAGGGTATACAAGTCGGTGGGCAGCCGGGGGAGCTGCTGAGGGCGCCCTGCCAGAAGGGCATCCTCACTCATCTGACCCAGTAATTCAGCAGGACAGCAGAGGAGTACGGCGGCTCCCGCCTGTAATCCCCATGCTCCACAGGCAAAGGCAGGACAACTGGAAGTGAGAGGCTGGCCAGGACTCCATGGTGAGATTCACACTGCAGTTCTCGGTGTGAACAAGGCCGCACTGCTTGTTCTTAGGAGCATTCTGAATTGCTTCACTGTTTTTTTTGATAAAACACTCTCACTGTGAGGTCCATGCTGGCCAGGAACTTGCTCTCCTTCTGTCTCTGCTTCCCAAGTGTGGGATCACAGGCATGTGCCACCGTACCCGGCCTTTCTATTTCCATCGATGACATCTGCCCTTGAGCCCATGACCGATGGTGGTCTCCCAATCCACTGAAGAAGGCCGGCGCTTGCCATCCAGCTCGAATGACTGGGAATTCCCAAGGCTCCTGAGTGCCAACCCTTTGCCCAACCCTTCTTCCAGTGCCAGGGATTGAACCCAGGGCCTAGTGTGTACTCTACCCCAGAACCACACCCCTAGCCTGCAGCCTTTTCTTTTCAAACCTGTGTCACCATTGTGCTAAATTCTCACTTATGGCTATTTTTGAGCCGTAGCAACTTTCTGCTCCTCCCTTGTGAATAACTGAGTTGAATCTACTTTGGTGGGGATGTAAGCGACGACTGTCCCGGACAGCCATCAGTGTGATGTGTTTCAGGTGAGTTCGGCCTGCTGGATTCGTCTCCGTTTGGCACCTCGCTGTTGCCCTTTGTCAGGGGGACAAACACCACAGCCAGTCATTCATCTCTCGAAAGCCTGTGCCGGCTCGTGCGTCTGTGACCTCGCACATCCTAGCGTTGCTGCAGATCTCAAGGTGTCATTGTGTCAGGCTAATACCTGCATGTGTGCTAAATCTCTGAATACCATGTAATTAAATTGATTTCTTGTGATGGTGACTAGTGCACAATTTCAACCCTCTTCTTTACTGGAAATCACATTTGTGAGGTATGAATTTGATTGGGTTCCTATTTTGTGTATTTTTTATCAGGTTATAGAATTTCTATACCATTTGCTTTGACACAGTAGACAGCTGTCTTACCTGAGCCTGGTGTGGGTGTGCCAGCACCATGCTGCCTGGAGCCTTGAGAAACTGATTCTACAAATCTTAGACAAATGTATTAGGCTTATTTTTTGCAAAGCAATATATACATTCCACTTATTTATTAATCTCTGGCTTTGTATTATGTAGAGATATTTGTAGATTGATATTCAGAACAGAATTAAAATATTGTGAAAATCACACAGCTTGTTTACTGTAATTTTGTTACACTGACTTGTTCCATTTGATCAAGCAGGCATGAACGACTTCCCCCAACTTAGACATGCAGTGGCAATGCCATGGTGTGTGTGTGTGTGTTGGTTTGGAATTTTTGCAGTTGCAGACTTGAACTCAGGAGCTGTGGCTGATGGCTCAGCTTACTTGCTCAACTGCTGCTCTACCTTAAGCCTTGCCTCTAGTTTGACATTCTTGCTTCTTAATTGGCAATGAGGAATCTCGGAAATTTTTTGCCCAGGCTGGCTTTGAACTACAGTCCTCAGATCTCAGCCTCCTGAGTAGCTGGGATTTCAGGTGTGACTATCCATGTCTAGGTTGCCTTATTTTTCAGACCGGGATTTTAGAGTATCCCTCATCCAGCCTGGAACCATGTGGTTTCGGTGACAGATGTGTGCCATATATGTGTCCATATATTCTGAAATGGGGTCTTGCATTTATGCTCAGCTGTCTTGAACCACATCCTGATCTCTAGGATTCCAACCTTCAGCCACTGGTAGTACTTGGGTTTGGCCCCTAGACACGCATGTGTCACAATGCATTGGATTTGGTGTGTGGAGCCTGGACAGGTCACATGTCCCCCAGGTGTTCAGTGCACACTTACTGGGAATAGCAAGCGGATTCCCCA